CTGACATTCAGTTTGGAGTTCAGGAGATTGTCTTGACCAGGACCACACCCCTAAATGCATTGAAGCAACTGCCATGTGATTGGTTCATTAGGTAATTGCATTAATGAGAAATTGAACAGGTGTTCCTAATAATCCTTTAGGTGAGTGTATATAATGTTATTTGTTATATAAATCAACTCAGGTGAAACAAAAAAAGTACGTTTTCAGGGTTGCCAAATCTCAAGAATCTGGCATGACATCTGGCATGACTCACACAGGAAATCTTTCGGAAAATCTATATTATTCCATTATAAACCTAAAGTTAGCTACGTCAAAAGTGTATTTACACGGTTAAATTAGGGTGACCAGATAATCCATGTCAAGGAGGACACTTTGAGCTACTTCGGGTTTTACAAACTACTTCCAAATTAAAAGGCTCCTGTGCTCGGCTAAAGAGTTCAGCTCTTCTTGTGCTTTGACTGGTTTGTTTCCTTCACTGAAAGACTCATCCAGCTGTTTTACATTAGCATTAGTGACACATGCATGCTTATAGGAGACTGACCAATCAACACACAGCAAGAACTCGGTGCTCAAGTGAAATCCAAGTCCGTTTAATTGAAATGGTAATTTACAATTCCTGTCCTAGCTCAGAGTGTCCTCCCTGACATGGATTATCTGGTCACCCTAGGTTAAATACAAAAGCAGACTATATATGTACAAGGTAACTGTAACATTTGTGTGCAGACATCTCGAACTGAAAATCTCACTCCAGCCAGCTGGCAGAAGTTGGCAACCCCGCGTTTTATTTAAAACGAAAAGTAAAATGCACTGTTTTCACCTGAGATGGCTCGTCACTGCGTTTGCGTTGTTATTCCGACAAATATAAAACGAATACAAGATAAACCTAACATATCACGTTTTATCCATCCATCCATTGTCCAACCCATTTATCCTATTGGGTCGCGGGGGGTCCGGAGCCTATCCCGGAAGCAACGGGCATAAGGCAGGGAACAACCCTGAACCACCATGCCGCCCATATCACGTTTCATATCTTTTTTAAATAATAAGATCGCCCATATTATACTCTGCGATTAAAGTGATAAGTTTGTATGTATTTATATTAAAACGAGGCTTTAATTTTATTACCATTCTGGCCGATTATCGAAACCAATACTTAAATCCATGAACACTAAAATGTATACATATCAAATACATATACATATCGGCAGTCATACATATATGTTAAGTTCTGTGTCACGTGACAATAAATATTGTCAAAAAGTTTTTGAATTGTACTGAATTAATTTGATTTGACAGTCAGGTATTGATTACCTGCAATGCTGATACAACTAATAGACTACTTAAATATATATCACACTAAAAAAATACACATCGCGATCTTCCGTACCTTTGCTTCAATATTTTTTTTCTAACTGGACCTCTTTAAATTATAGGTGAATATCCCTGCTCTACAGGTTATGACTTTGATTAGAAGGTCGCCGGTTCTAATCCCAAGAAAAACACTCCAAGGTTGCTGCATAAATGGCTGACCCTGCACTCTGACCTGTGAAGTCAGGTCACATCTTACGTGGTTTTCCATAGTGTGGTTTTGAATTATCCTTGTGTGTGTGTGTGTGTGTGTGTCTCTCTCTCTCTCTCTGTATATATATATATATATTTCCCTACCTGGATCATTCAAATATACACATATATAAAACTGACCAAAATGCACAACTTCAAAGTGCGTAATCGTGGGTTGAACGCGGTATGAGTCAGCATGCTGTCTGTTTAAACACCGACTGGCCTGCATCCTAATTCAGTTGTTGTCTAGCACTGGTTGGCGCGGTTTTGGATTATCGCGGTTATTTGTGGAACTCATAAGTGGTGGACCGCATAATATGCCGCAATCTCACAGGAGAGCAAGGTGGGATACCTGAAAAATTAAAGAATTCCTATGTATATATGGAAATAAAGTATCATGCATCATCATACTAGGTGTTGCGGCAATTGTATTTACTTATCAGGATTGTACTCAGTAGTGATTGAAATGTTTACTTTTGTATTATTCTATGAATTGACAAAATATGGACTGACAACCTTAACCACTGCAAAATATTAATGAAGAAAGCAGATGGTCTAATTATAGAGAATGTTATCGATATCTGAATGTAAATCTTGTATGTAAATGTAACATTAAAATATTATAATACAGGTTTCCAGATATTTTCAGTAATAATTTCATTCCAAGGGGTAATTATTGTACGTTTATTATTTTCAAAAAATGTCACATATATCAATGAGACGAGTCAATTAAGTGATTAAAGATAACATAGTAATGCATATTTAAAATGAAATACTCCGTTTGCTTATTAAAACTCCAGCATTCGTCTCTGTAATCTGTATTCGTCCTGTCGCAGTCGGACTGGCGCAGGCGCAGGGATTGGCCAACAGGAGGGAGGGGGATCATTATTGAGCAGGGAAGTGGAATTCAGCGCGTGTGCTATGCTAGACATCGGTTCTCTCTATTTGGCAGCGGAGGGGGAGGGGTGGGCTAGGCCGTGGAGTCGCGTTTGTCTGGTCCCTACAAACGAAGACTGACTGAGACCGGGCAGAGCGGGAGGTGAAATAAGCCACTCAGCTATTCCTAACTTGACAACATAAAAGGTAAGCGGCGTAAAATGCCGACACCGCCGCTTTATTTTCTGCCACGGCGATCCACCTTACAAGCACATTTTTAGATGCGTGGAATTATGCGGTAAAATGGAGAAATGAGGATTGTAAATGTGCTTGTTTTCATTTGAAACCATGCCTTGCGTTTGACAAGCAGAACCCTTCTTTGTTCAGTTGCGCCGCGCTTCTAAATGTTTTTTATTTTTTGCTGCGGGGTTTGTGGCTAACTAAATAGGCTAGTAATACTGGAGCAATATGGCTGACATTGACGTCGCTGGCTCTGTAGCTAGCATGTTGTGCCTATTGCTGTTGCAGGCGGGAGTATTTATTTCGCATTTAAACAAATCGTGTCAGTATCCTCTGCTCATTTAGTGTTATTACATGTGTGGCCAACTTGTTCCTATTTTTGTGTAGGTGAGCATCATTGGGGTAAGTTTGACGATATGCGGGTAGTTTGGTGTATGGATTTTTACCTCACTGAAAGAAAATAAGCTTGCTCCAATTTTCTCCAAACCGTAGACAAATTGCACTGTAAAACACGTAGTGGAACAGTGGAACAAAAGTTGATGCTATACGCGAATTAGTAGCTGGGTTCTTTGATACGTTTGTGTTAATGCATGTCGTTGTAATGGAAATGCGCTGTTTTCATCCAATTTCGCCAGTCTGCCTGAAACCTATTTTTCAAACTGGTTTTCTGCTGCATTGTTGAATGCTGTCGTCATTTTTTGTAGTAAAAGATCTTTTTTTTCTGTCAAGGCGATAGAGCTCACTGTAATGAAATAGAAAACAATACATACATTATAAGCATACGGCCAAATCATAGAAAACGTGTACGCTGATTTAATTATCCTGAGTAAATCTGTGTGTGTGTGTGTGTGTGTGTGTGTGTGGAGGGGGTGTGCTGTTAGTTATTTTGAAATTCGTGAGATTTTAACAAGCACCTCTGCAGGATACATTGTACAGTTCAGGGTTTGGGGAATATTAGCTGCCATTGTCTTTGCAGTTAAAGCTACCCTTATAATATATATTTATGTTCATTCTGCAGTATTTTCTGGAATAGATTTTACCAGTGCACATTATTTCACATTTGATGATAAATGGATGTAATCAGTAATAGTAATAACAGTAGTGATTATTGGTGTTGTCACTGATGATAACAATAGTAATAAATATCATAAAGAATACTTTTTACTATTAAAACATTGTTCAACAAATGATAGGGATTTCGTTTTTTTTATTTGCTGAATTTAGCAGGGAAAAAAATTAGAAATACTGACTTTTTTCTGCAGTTGACTGCATAAGGTTTAATTCTCTCTTCGTCACTTGCACACACCTGTACAGATTTTTATTTGGCACTTAATTCACTTATATCACTATCTTTCAAAAAATGTTGGAAGCATCCAACAAAACTGTTTGTTACAATTTTACAAAATGAGAATGAAGGCCTGTATGTTGGGCTTTTGAAATAATGCCATTTGATAACAGGGTGGAGAAAAGGTCCTCTGAAGCCACAACAGCTTGTTATTTTGATGGTTAACTTACAATATGGCAAATGGAAAAAATATATATATGTAATATATATATATATATAACTGGAGGTAGCATATGTATAGAAAACTAACAAGAAATCCTTTTAGCAAAATAAACACATTTTTTTTGCTTTTATTAAAAAGGGGAAGTTAGATACCAGGCCTTTACTGCCGCTTACAAAAATATCTTCTATACTATAACAATCCAACTTATCATTTTCACAACAATTATTTTGCCTTATTTTAATAAATTCTGAAGTAGCAGGGAGGGGTTCTTCATTTTTTTCACCTGCCACTAGGGGTAAAAAAAAGAGAAATTTTCCGTGAAGAATCGTGATTCATGAGTGCCAGCGTGTTTGTGCCAGATCAAGCTTTTTTTTAAGCACACCTGGCCTAAGGAAGCATTTGAGCTTTATTAAATAATTCTCTTAATAGTCCTAATGCTGGTTATGGCATGTAGAACAAAGTAATTTTAGTCTTGCTTGATTTTTATGTAAGTGTAACTAGCCTGCATGTTTAATAGTTCTGTGAAAATTGATACACAGTCCACTTACCAGCAATTTTGATCCAAAAACATAGAATAGTGCAGGCAAATTGTCTGATATGTAATCATTTCATTTTTCTCAAATGATACTGACTAAAACCCATGAAACAAGCAAAGCTAAATAATTCTGAAGGAATGTGCATGCCCTTTTGTTCTAGATATTTTTGGTCTGTAATTATGACTAATAAACAAATCCTTGTGTTAAGTACAGTTAACCCTACAGATGTGTTTCTCTTGGTCCTGTTGCACCATCAATTAATGGTGGTTTTTGTTCCCATTGGTCTTGTATAAGTTAATTAGCATTTACTGAGCTTTTGATGAAATTGCCTGATTCCAGTTGTGAGGAGGTAATATGAAGTTTTTTGTAGTGGTGATGAGCTTTTGGGCAGTGGAATAAAAATGTTATTCTGGATGTCAAATTGCCAACATTATTAGATCAGTTATTAAGAAGCTTTACATTATTAATAAGTTAAACATTGTTGTAATGCTGTCCCAAACGATTATTCTTTAAACGATTAATCTGGTGTTTGTTTATTTGTTTTCAATTATTCAACTAATCGAACAACTAATTTTTTGATTGATCTGATGATAAATTTATTGATAAGCAATTATTTTCAAGTTAGTCATTTAATACAACAATTCACCCCCTCCCACACACACACACAATCTGAAATTCTCATTAACATTTCAATTTATTAAAATATTTGTTAAACATTAGAGCATTATTAACAAAAGTGCTTTTAACAAACACTAGCAAAGGTAGCTTATAGTTAAGCTTACTTCAGTGAGCAAGGAACGATTTAGGCTACAGTGTGTAAGAGTAGTCGTAAACGATAATTTGTCTCACTCTTACGTGACAGAATAAGTAAACAGAAAATATAAAACGGCTGAAACAGAGTCATTAACATCAGCTACAGTAGACGTGCAGAAAAGGTGTCATGACTGAAGTATTCCCAAACTTTGGAAGACCATGTGCGAGCCTTTTTTGCCCCGTGTTTCCCCAGAGGCTCCGGAGCTCTGCTGGTAGACGCAGCCATGCTGCCTCATGCGCATGGGGGCAGGGCGGGGTGGGGCAGGCGGCAAATTTCCTTTTTGCAGGGTGGTAGGAGATGTCTCATTAATATTTTTAAGAGAAGTGCTACATGATTGGCCAGTGCATGCCTTGCAAAATAGTGGGGCACTGCTGGCACTGGCGATATTAGACAAAACTATATCGGAATTCTGTCTATAATTGATATAGTTTTAATGCTGCCAGCAGTAGGGCTGGGCGATAAAACGATTACGATATGTATCGCGATAGACAGGTGATCGATATCAATAAAAATGTGTTCGATAAAACGTTCGATATTTTTTATTCTTCGTCGGAAGAAAACAGAGGTTGCGAAGCTAGTTTGGATCCGTGCCGGAAACGCAGCTGTCATAAATGGCCGTAGCACAGCAAAACAACTGCTTTATGGAAGTTCTGCCGGTTTTTTGTGAATCACTGTGACGGTCGCCTCGCCCTCCCCTAACGCCGCTCGCCCCCCGTCTCCTGAATATTAAGTTATAGGTCTGTATCCTTTCGGTTTGTATGTGTCATGTTGTCCGGTTTTTCGCGTATCCCGTGTTTCGTTTCGAGTCTGCCGTGTCTTGGTTTCCCCTTCTCTCTTTCCTCTCTGTGTTTACGGCGCACTTCCGGGTTCCGGGCAATTCGGTTTCCCTATGTTTCCCCTGTCTATCGGGAAATAATGTTTCCCCTAATATTAAAGCAAAGAGGTATGTGAAATGTCTGAAAATCACTCAAGTACATTATTACATGTGAATACTGTATTGTTAGTAGTACCGAGGCCCAGAGTTGCTGTATACCTGTTTTAACAGGGGGGAACCAAATATGCTGGATGTCAGGAAATAATGTTTCTCCTAATATTTAGGCAAATATGTATGTGAGATGTTTGAAAATCACTCAGGTACATTATTACATTCGAATACAGTAGATCGTCACATGTGATGTTTTAAAATATGTGGCTTGTTTACCTCAAGAGCTTCGTAAAAAGACATGAAAACAGCGAAACCGTGTACAAATCAGCGCGCGACAGGGGAAACATAGGGAAACTGAGTTGCCCGGAACACCTGTTCCGGAACACCGGCTCCCTACGTATCGTGTCTTCCTCGTTAGTGTTTGCATGTGTGTCTTTTCCTAGCACAAAACCTGGACTGAAAATATACTTGAATAGTTCAACTTCAAGTATGATTAGAGTAAGAATAACTTGAAGAGTTACTTTTTCATATTTCTGCAGGTTTTATATTTCAAACAATGTTACTGTACTGTATCAGATTTGTTTTTTTATATTACAGATGTATCTCAGTCTACGTCAGTTTTATTTATGTTTACAAAACACTGCACATATTTTAAAAACACTTAATTTTCCATCCTTGTTGACATGTTTAAAATAAAAATGTTTAAATGTAATATATTTTTCTCCTGGTCTTTATTTTAAATGGGTCATAAAAAATGTCAATAATTATCGATATCGACCGATATGAAACACTCATATCGTGATACAGTTTTCAGTCATATCGCCCAGCCCTAGCCAGCAGTGAGACAACTAGCCAGCTTATTAGCAGAATAACTTGTATTGTAAATGAAAACAATGCCGCAGGTCCAATAAATAAAATATTGTAGCTCTCGAGTGGCGAAGAGATCATCAAGTGGACAGTAAAGTTCAGTTATTGGCAGAGTGTTTTATTGCGCGATTCGGAAAAGGACAGTGTTAATATGCTCCCGAGGGGATAAAGTATTTTCCCTTACAATACATTTAGCTTATCACGTAGTGCATTGCAGTTACAAAACATTTTTTGGTGGCATTTTTGTAATGTAAATCAGGGGTAGGCAGTCTTATCCAGAAAGGACCGTTATCTATGCAGGACTTCGCTGCAACTCCCTAATTACATTACTAATTAGAGGACTGATTGGCTGAAGAGTCCTCACACCTGGGTTTGAACAGCTGACCTAAAGGTTATCCCAAAAACCTGTATGCACACCATCCCTTTGCAGATAAGAGTGTCCACCCTTGATATAACTACAGTAGTACCTCGACCCATGAACATTCCTGTTCACGAACAAATCGGGTTACGAACCAGATGTTCGAAATTTTTTGTACCGGTTTGCGAACCGTGTTTCAGGCTGCAAACACACAAACATCCCCCAAAAGGGTCCATTGAAAGCGCCCCAATGAACCACTCGAAACTTAAAGCCCAAGAACGGTTGTGGAATGTATAAATATACTTGTTGTAGATGTACAGTATGTCTTTATTGTATCTCTTTAGAGGTCAAATATCTGAAAAAAGAAAAAAAAAAATAGAGCGAGAGAGAGAAT